AAAGGTGAAGACACACACAACATATAAGACAGTTTTTCTTCGGTTTTATCTAAATTAGGAGCAAATAGTTTCGACACAAAAGAGTGGGTGGAGATAGAATCAAATAATACATGAGCGAAATGACCGTGAACGATAAATGTACCTGACACCACTGTTGCCGCATTTTGCACATCTCCCGGAACCAATGCGAACACCCTGCCTTGTCTCGTAGTGTCTTTATTATTAGTAGGTTTAACAGTTGTCCTGGTGTTGGAAGTTGGTGCAGACCCCGCTGAACTTGTATCGGTTCTATTATTACTTTGTTGATTTCTTTGAGGGCAATCCTTGATCAAATGACCCGTCTTACCACACTGAAAACAGGCTCCAGACTTCCGATAGCACGTTCCACGATGCTTCTTTCCACATTCCGAACAAGTCGGCATTGAATCCTGACTAGGGGTAGAAGTATTTGAACTTCCTAAAGTCTGCTTCTTGTTTGGTGGAGTAGGTGATCCCTTCGACCATTGAGTATTTTGCCTCTTCCCTTTCCATTCCGAAATTCGACTTTGAGTAGCGAGATTCCCTTCCGCTATAACAGCCCTCTCCAACACATCGACGTATGTGGGTAACTTCAACATGTTGACCTTATCCAGGATAGCGCTCCGCAATCCCCCTTCAAATTTACGCGCCTTCTTATAATCCGTGTCCACCATATGAGGTGCAAACCGAGCTAATTCCGCAAATTGGGCTTCGTATTCGGCGACGGTTTTGTTCCCTTGCCTGAGAGTTTCGAATTCTGTTACCTTCTTATCCCGCATGCTTTGAGGGAAATACTTGTCACAAAACAGTTCTAGGAATCTTTCCCATGTTAATCCTGGGTGTGTAATCCTTGTAAGCATCCACCATCTCCGCGCCTCATCCTCAAGTGTGAAGGCAGCCAGTTGCACTTTTTGAGCTTCGGTGCAAGGAAAGACTTCAAATAGTTTTTCTATTCCCAACACCCATGCCTCAGCTTTCATTGGTTCTATCCCTCCTTTGAATGATGGGGGTTGCATCTTTTTAAACTCCTTGGTCAGAGCAATGGTTCGATCTTCAACATGAAAATCTTGCATTACAGGTGGAGGTACCGGTGGTGGTGGTTGTTGTTGTGGCTGCTGCTGTTGTTGCCGCAGGGTCTCCGCCATTTCCATAATCATTCTCTCCATTCTATCCAACCGTGCAGAAGTAGCATCTTCTGCATCCTCTGTCCTTGTCCTCACCATAGCCTGCACAACCATCATTTATATACAATAGATATATTCAAAATTGTTAGCCTTATCAGAGTATACTTAACGTTGCCATCGATCTTTCATATACTTTCAGGATGTCATGCAAGATGCCTAAAGCTTTTCTAGACACCCTAAAGCTCAATGGATCCGTGTGTGAGATAGCAACTCGTGCTCTGATACCACTTGTCACGCCCCAAACTTGCCCCTAAAAGTTAGGGCATGACCCATTCAGAAATAGACATATAACTTGGTATATATAGCATATGGGGCCCTATCGGAAGCGTAAAATATTAAAAGAATAATAAGCTAAACAAACTCCATTGAGCTATTTCTAATATGCCAGGATCTTGTACATTACATGCACCAATATAGACCGATAATGTCCAAAAATATTCCTCAGCAGTACTTAAACACAAACACATATACAGACCCAGCCCTATAATCGGGCATGTAACAAAAAAACTGTTAAAGTTATATACATTCAACCTTGGAAGGATAGCCAAGAAGTAAGCTAATTATCTTAATAAACTTCACAAAATAAGTGGCCTCGTAAGTGTCTGGATACACGAAGGTTGACAAAAGAAGCCGGGCGTCATGGGTTAGGATTGACCACCTGGTTGGTAGCCTACAGAAACAGACATAACAGAGAGTGAGCCGGGCTCAGTGAATAGTAATACATAAATGAAACAATGCTCAACTTGAAATATGACATATATCAACACATATGGAGATGCAGAGGTCACATAGTTAGCTTGATTCTGTGTTCATCTTATAACGGCCTTAGGCCCAGTCTTGAACATAACAGCTTGACATATCATATCTTATATCATATTAGCTTGGAGCCCTTGAACATGGTGGCATAATTCCCTTGAACATGGTGGCATGATGCCCTTTAACATGGTGGCACAAGGCCCTTAAACATGGTGGCACAAGGCCCTTAAATAGAGTGGCATTACGCCCTTGGATAATTTGGCACTAAGCCCTTGAATATACTTATACAAACTCAAGAGGTGTCTCACACGGATTCTAGAGGTGGCTCACGTCGTAGCACTTAGTTCCGTGTAGCACTTTGTTTCATATCATAACAACTTATATTGACTGGCCGTAGGCCCAGAGTCTTATAGAAGGAAGGTATTTTATCTTTCCCGTTTCTTTCTTTACATACTTGGAACATACTTGAACATTAACATACATACTTGAAATATTAACATAGTTGCATCCTTGAAACATTAACATAGTTGCATACTTGAAACATTAACATAGTTGCGTAAACGAAATGCTAATGAAAATCATTAGCCATATGTAAAGCGGATAATGATACTACTACTCATAGTGTTGTGATGATGTGCTTGTTTCTCCCGGAGTGTGCCCTGCACACATTCAACCTTTACAATTTAGTTTCCTTTCAATATCAAATTGCTTTCTATTTCGTTTTACTTCGAAGGAATTTATACATATTAAAAGGCATCAAATACATATTCCGACAACATTAGAGGGTTCTACACGCAAAACAGAGAGATCCACGTTTTTCAGCATGGGCCGCACGTGCGGCTGTGAGCCCCGCACGTGCGGCAAGCTCTCCCGCACGTGCCTTTTTGACAGTGGCCAAGCCCTTGTTTTTCACCATTTCCCGCATGTGTGGCCATGACTCCCGCACGTGCGGCGGCACCTCCCGCACGTGCGGCCATGACCCCCGCACGTGCGGCGATTCTGCCCAAAATTGTCCGAAAATTCTTGCAAAATCCCACCTTTTGGAAAACATGAACAAGGCTCAAAATAACTTTCCTAATTGGTAGAACATGACCCAAATTCATATAAACACAATGACAATTACATACATCAAGCTAATATACTTTAGTTCAACATACACAAGTCCACAAGAGTTCTTCATGATCTTTCATGAGAAAGTAAGAAATCAAAGCTAATTTCTCCACATACATACATAAGCAACTTAGTTCAAACTCATCCAATGGATAAAACATGATCCAATTACACCCTGGGTTCAATTATCATGGTTGTATCACCCTCAAATTCAAGAGAGGAATTATAAAAGATAGACAAACTTACCTTGAGTTGAGATCTCCCAAAGTCTCTTTAGGTTATTCAATCTCTAGCCTTTATTGAAACTCCCTTCTCATTTCTCTCTACTCTTACTATCCTTTTCCAGGAAATATGTTGAACTAAGTCCAAAGCTTAAAGAACACATACATATTTATAAGAGCTATAAGAGCTAATAAGACAAAAGTCAATCGTTTAAACATCCGAAATTGAAATTTCCCAAAAATGCTTAATATTACCTAAAAATTATGCTGATCACATATATAAAATCAATTTCAGATAATTAAGCCCTTAAGGACTCCGATTTCGATTCAAACCTTCTAATGTAACAGATACTTTTCTTGTTGAACAGATAGACATCCTTAATCATATGGTTCACTTACTTAATTTAAATTTCCCATAGGATTTCACAGTAAGCATTCAAATCACAAAATAGGATCCGAAAATATAACAAAGAACATGTACGAGGGTCGGGTTATTACAATAAATATTCTGTATGTTCGTTTGAGGCCTTTAGTAATCTACGGATTACTGGCTTGTTATGATCCAAACTCTTAGGGGCGGGTTTGGGTTATGACAGAGTAGTATCATAGCACGAGTTAATATCTCACACACGGGTCCATGTGAGCGATAAGGAGTTTAGAAAAAGTTTAAGTTGCATCAATAATGCATTCATAATCAGGTATGACATGAGAATGTGCAGTTGTAAATGTAACTTATGTGCATATTACCTGTGAAAGTTATAATGTCTATTCCTCTAGATCATGGTGAGAGTAAGGACAGAAGATGGGAAGAATTCAACATCCGCACGACTTGATAGAATGGAGGCAATGATCATGGCTATGGCAAAGGTTTTTAGACAATAACAACAGCGACAACAACCACCACCACCACCAATGCCTGTGCCACCACCTGTAGTGCAAGACCACCAAGCTGACAACTGAACTATTGCACTCATAAAGAAATTTAAGAAGATGAAACCGCCGTTGTTCAAAAGAGGAATCTACCCACTAAAGGCAGGGGCCTTGGTGCTTGGCATAGAGAAACTGTCTGAAGTCTTTCCATGCATGGAGGCACAAAAAGTTTTGCTTGTTGCTTTTACACTAGAGGATGAGGCACATCGTTGGTGGATGCTTATCCGAGAGGAACATCAAGGAATTAATTGGGCTCAATTCTTGGAGATCTTTTATGATAAGCACTTCTCACAGAGTATCCGAGATAGGAAGGTGTTGGAGTTTAAAAACTTGAAGCAAAGGAACAAAACTGTAGCAGAGTATGAGGCACAATTTACTGAGTTAGCCTACTTTGCACTACGGATGGTCCATACGAACTACAAAAAGGAAAGGAAATTTCAAGGAGGTCTTCGAGACTCCATTTGTTGAGATGATTAATGTGTTGAAGATATACAAATATGTGGATGTATTGGATAGGGCCATCATAGCGGAAGGTAACTAGGCCAACCGTAACCGGTACTCGGATTGGAAGGGCAAAAGGCAGGGCTCTAAAATTCACAAAGGGTTGGCGTCCTCACAAAATAAGAAGCAAAATTTGGGAACTTCCAACAGTTCGGGTTCTACCTGTGATTCAACACTAACCTGCCCGAAATGTGGAAAGAAACATCGTGGGGTTTGCTATTGAGCAATAGGAGCTTGCTTTAATTATGGAAAGACGGGACATATGATAAGATAATGTCCTATGTTTGGGAAACGAAAAGAGAATAGGCCAATTGCTAGTTCAGCCGGATCCACTCCTACAACAAAGACCACAGCAAGGCCTACTACTTCTGGAGACAATGTTAGGCAAGGGAGAGTCTTTGCTCTTGTTTCAGGTGATGTCCAGAATTCAGATGTTGTGGTTTTAGGTATACCTTCCATTAATGGCCAACCTGCTCGTGTGCTACTTGATTCGAGTTCCACTCATTCCTTTGTTTTGAAAACATTTGCTCCTAATTTGAATAGATCTATGAAACTCTTGAATTATGTGTTGTGTGTGTCTCTCTCATCTGGGGACTATATGTTATGTGCTTCTATTTATTCTACATGTGAGCTTTTACTTGGAGATATTCCATTATGTGCTAATTTGATGCCTCTTGATATGGTACACTTTGATATAATTTTGGGGATGGATTGATTAGCTAAGTATCATGCAACAATTGATTGTGTGTGTAAGCAAGTTGTTTTTCACCCACCGGGTCAAGATGAGTTTACTTTTGTGGGACATGGGATACCTCCTCCACCCTATCTAATCTTGGTTATGAAAGTCTGTGAACTACTTCAGAAAGGTTGTAAGGGTTATTTGTGTAGCATTTTACATGTAGAGACAACCGATACGAGTGTTGAAAATATCCCAATTGTTAGTGAGTTTTCGGATGTATTTCCTGAGGAATTGCCAGGGGACTTGATAGACCATGAGATTGAGTTTGTTATTGATATTGTATTGGGTGCTCTACTGATTTCAAAAGCTCCGTACAAAATGTCTTCGGTAGAAATGAAGGAATTGAAAATACAGTTGCAAGAATTGCTTGACAAAGGGTTTATCCGACTGAGTACATCACCCTGAGATGCACCCATTTTGTTTGTGAAGAAGAATGATGGGACTCTTCGGTTGTGTATTGATTACCTAGAACTTAATAAGATAATGGTGAAAAATAAATATCATTTACCATAGATTGATGATTTGTTTGACCAATTATAAGGGGCACAAGTGTTTTCAAAAATTGACTTGAGATCCGAGTACCATCAGTTGAAAGTCAAAGTAGAGGATGTTGAGAAGACCGCCTTCCGAACCAGGTACGGCCATTATGAATTTTTAGTCATGCCATTTGGGGTTACGAATGCACCACCAGCTTTTATGGATTTAATGAATTAGATTTTCAAACCGTATTTGGATGAGTTTGTGGTGGTATTCATTGATGACATTCTTATTTACTCAAAGAGTAGGGAGGAACATGAAAAGCACTTGAGACTAATTCTTCAAACACTTAGGGACAAGAAGTTATATGCTAAATTGAAGAAATGTGAATTTTGGTTGAATGAAGTTGTGTTTTTGAGGCATGTGATTAACAAGGATAGTGTGTCTGTCGATCCGCAAAAGATAGAAGCTATTGTGAATTGGCCTGCTCCTACTAATGTTACAGAAGTACGCAGTTTTATGGGTTTAGCAGGTTATTACCGAAGATTTGTTAAAGATTTCTCTAAGATTGCGGTGTCGCTTACCCAGTTGACTCAAAAAGGTGTTCCATTTGAGTGGATAGAACAGAGGGAGTCCGCCTTTCAAGAATTAAAGATAAGGCTCACAACAACACCGGTCCTCGCCTTATCATCAGGTACAAAAGGGTTTGTTGTTTATAGTGATGCTTCTCATAAGGGATTGTGATGTGTACTTATGCAAAATAGAAGAGTGATTGCGTATGTATCTCGACAATTGAAGCCGCATGAAAAGAACTACCCTACGCATGATTTAGAATTAGATGGAGTGGTGTTTGCGTTGAAAATATGGCGGGATTATCTTTATGAAGCAACGTGTGAAGTCTACACCGACCACAAGAGCCTCAAATATTTCTTTACTCAAAGGGAGCTTAATATGCGGCAAAGATAGTGGTTAGAACTCATCAAAGATTATGACTTGCAAATTCATTACCATCTCGGCAAAACCAACACAGTAGTGGATGCTCTTAGTAGAAAGTTAACGGGAAACTTAGCGTGCTTGCTTACAGAGTGGAATGAACTATTACTTGACATGGAAAGAATGGAAGTGGAAATTGTGCTATATGAACAGGGTGGAATGTTAGCCGCAATGGCAGCACAACCGACTATTATTGAGGAAACTAAACAAAGGCAATTGGAGGATGAATTTCTCAAGAAAATACATGATGAGATGGAAACAAAGCAGAGACCGGGATTTTCTTTGGAAGCTCAAGTGTTAAAATTCAAGGGAAGATTGTGTGTTCCTAATGTCCCCAAAATTAAAGAAAGAGTCTTAGAAGAAGCTCACAAGTCTAGGTTTGCTATGCATCCCGAAAATACCAAAATGTACTAAGATCTGAAGCAAGCGTTTTGGTAGCCCAATATGAAGACAGAAATTGAAAAGTTCATTTCAAGATGCCTTCAATGTCAGCAAGTGAAAAAAGAGCACCAACGACTGGCGGGGTTACTTCAACCTCTCCCTATTATAGAAAATGGGAGCATATAACTATGGATTTTATTGTGGGCTTACCCTGAACCCACTGAGGTATGGATTCTATATGGGTTGTTGTGGATAGATTGACTAAGTCTGCTCACTTTCTACCTATGAAGACTGTTTTTAATGCTGATACATTGCTGAGATTATTTGATTGCACGGTGTTCCAGTTTCCATTGTGTCGAATAGAGATTCTAATTTTGTGTCAATATTTTGGCAAAGTTTGCAGAAAGCATTGGGGATGGAATTGAGGTTCAGTAGCACATTTCATCTACAAACCGACTGACAATCTAAAAGAACTATATAGACGTTGGAAGACATGCTTCAGATATATGTTTTGGATTTTCGTGAAAGTTGGGAAACTCATTTACCTTTGGCGGAATTTGCATCTAACAACAGTTTCCCCTCCAGTATTAGAATGGCACCATATGAAGTTTTTCATGGAAGAAAATGTCGAACTCCGATTAGTTGGACTGAGGTTGGGGATAGGTCGTTGATTGGGCCTGAAATTGTGCAAATTATTAAGGAAAAGATTCAGATCATCCAACAGAGATTGAAAACTGCTCAAAGCCGACAGAAGAGCTATGCAGATCAAAGAATGAGAGACCTAGAATTTAAAGTTGGGGATCACATTTTTGTGAAAGTCACCCTAATGAAAGGGCACACATGGTTTGGCAAGAAAGGGAAATTGTCACCCCGGTACATAGAGGCATTCCAGATTTTAGAAAGGTTGGGTCCGGTTGCCTATCGGATTGCTTTACCATCGGGCATGGAGTAAGTGCACAATGTGTTCCATGTGTCAATGTTGCAAGGCTACATTCGGAACCCTTCTCATATTATTGACTATAATTAGATCGTAATAGATGACGATAAGGTTTATGAGGAGAAACCTATCCAAATCCTTGATCTACAAGTCAAGCAACTAAGGAACAAGGCTATCCCAATGGTAAAAGTCGAATGGAGGGAACACTATGGGAACGAAGCCACTTGGGAACGGGAGGAAGAAATGAGACAACGATATCTAGAATTGTTCTTGACTTGAGGTAAACAAGTTTGGAGGACCAAACTTCCTAAAGGGGGGAAGACTGTGATAACTCAACCCGTACTCTACTTAATTATGCATGTGATTATGTGTTTGATATGAATTTGCAAGTTTAATATGTGAATTATGGGAATTTGGAATAATATATGTTGAATGTAGGAATATTTATTGCAATTACAAATTTGAACTGAAATTGAAAGCCTTAGAGGCGCAATAAATAAAAACCGACTTCATATCTATGATAAGTATGATTTATAGAGCTTACGGTGAAATTTTAAAAAATTATGATTCGTAATGATTAAATCATATTTTATGAGTTGGGTCATACATGTGTTTAGCCCTTATATTCTTTATTCTTGGTTGAGAGCTCTAAAGAGTGAGTTAGAGAGTGAGTGGAAGAGGAAAGCTAGGGATTTTGAAGAAAATCAAGGGGCAAACCATAGATTTGAGTTAAGGTATGTTAAATTACGTATAATCTTTGTCTTTAGCTCATCTTTTTTGTCATGAAATCAAGAAGGAATTAGGAATTTTGAGTTGGGGTTTTGAGTTATGTAATGGCTAGAGCTAAATATATGAAATTGAACCGTAATCTCTTCATTTTTGTTTGATTTGAGTTCATTCTTAGGATTGACCCATGAAATAGACCCCAGATGGTTCATACAAACAAGATTTGTTGGAAGATTCACCATGTTTGTATGTATATTGAACTTGTTTATGTAAATCATGAATTTGTGAAAATATGAGACCATGAATTTGATGTTGAAGCAAGATTGATAGGTTTAATGTGAAATTACACTTGTATCTTGCTAGTATATCATGTTTTTGGGTTGGTTTTGGATGATCTTGGGATTGGACATAAGTTTGGGAAGATTGCATTTTTGTGCCATTTTCGGACTATCTGTATGTGTCTAGACAGCTCGTGTGCCCATGGGCTCCGCACGAGTGGCCAATGAACCAAACCTAGGCAAAACAATTCTACGCGCTCGAGTGAATCGAGCTCCCGTACTAGCAGAGCCAGATCGCTAGAGTGGTTGGACCGGCCGCACAGGAGAGAAAACCCTATTTTCTCGTGTTGGTACTCCCGACCTCCGGAACACATTCTCAACCTTATTTAAATCCTTTTGGGCATGAAATGATGATTAGAAAGTCATTAAAGAAGGTTTCCAATTATGAAGGATAAGTGTACGAATTGAAACAAATGATTTATCGAATGTGTACGTGAAATGTTTGTGTAGGTCATGTAGTAGAGGAAACGCCGCGAGATCAAACACATTGTGAGTAATAATATTGTACATATATGTTCTTTATTATGTACCTCGAACCATGAATGGTGAATGGTGTAGACATTGTGATTTGATCAAATGAAGAAACTTCATCAATATTATATGACATGTGCAATGTGGACCTAAGGTCGTTTTGTTTACGTTTTGATATGTGATTGGGCTCGAGACCATTTTGATATATGCTGGTCTGGAGGCTGTTTTGATATATGATTGGGCCCGAGGCCATTTTGATATATGATTGGGCCCGAGGCCGTTTGAACATATGTTGGGCCCGAGGCCGTTTTGATATATGATTGGGCCCGAGGTTGTTTTCATATATGTTAAGCCTAAGACCGTTCCGTTTGTACGATTATGGATATTGCGAGAACCTCATGACTATCTATTTATACTGCTTTACTGTATTATTACTCATTGAGCTTTGCTCATCCAATATTATGTATGCACATGTAGGTGATCTGCAACATGGAGCACACCTCTAGAGTCAGCTTTAGGAGCTATTTTTGTGACCCAATCGAGTCATTCCTTCAAGATGAAGTTTTGTCTTTGACTCACACCATACCTTGACTTCATTTTGTCTTTGCTATTATGGTCTTGGGTTTGTAAGTGATATCTACAAATTTCCTATGGTACTTATATTTTTTCTTGGGCTTGTAAATGATTGAATGTGTTTAAAGTTAGCTTTATAATTTTGCTCATGTTGGCACAACTCCATGGACTTCTCATTGTTATATGCTTCAGTTTATAGCGCCATTGCCATAAATATTATGTATGTTCATTTGAGGGCTTTGGTAATCTACGAATTACTGGCCGGTTGTGATCCAAACTCTTATGGCCGGGTTCGAGTCATGACAGCTTCCTTTGTTTCTTGATGTAAATATTTTGTTCAAATCTCAGACTTTACTTGTATTGAGTTTAAACTCATTTTGTTGTTATCAAGTATCGTCTTGGAAAGTTGTAACCTATTAGGGCATTTCTTTGTTTGATTTTAATTCCCTTTTTACTCTTGTATCAATGTCATATATTATAGACTCAGAATCTAGGACTTGTGAATATATATTACATATGTCATCTTTTGTAACGAACATTGATATGATGAATGGGAAATATAAAATAGTTGATCAATTATAGTACTATTTTGAGTTGGGTTAAATGTTAATTATTTCAGGGTGTTACACAATCAACAATAACAAAACAACTTATGTGTGCAACTGAAAAGGAAAACAACATGATTGAATACGCATATCAAAACGGTGGAAAAAAAATTCCATGTAAGGCTTGTGAGGGAGGTAGTGAAGACAATACAACTTCTGTGTGTGAGGAGCATGATTCAGTAAACAAACGCTTGCAAGGGAACAATAATATGGAATCTTCAATCTTAGAGTTTTCTTGTTCTTCCTCACAGCCAACTTACTCGGAACCTCAGTCTACACTAAATGTCGTAAGCATTGCAGTAACTAAAGCAAAAGACAATTAAACAACATTAGTTTACCATTAAAATTTTGAAAGCTCAATAACCCAAACAGAAACCTCTAAAGATCAAGGGTTTCAAATGAGAGAAAGGGAGCAACGACAGCTTGAGTCACTGTAATGGCGTCGACAACATGCAACCCAATTTCTTCAAGATCTCAAGTTATTCAAACTCTTTTGCCACCTCCTGGAGTGCTGCGAAGGTGAAGCGACAGATCAATATTTGGATCATGCGCTGGAAACTTAGATTAATATTCCCATGCCTTGATTGGTGCTGGTGGTGGATATGAATCTGCGGTGGTAGTTGTTGGCGACGATGAAGCAAATGCCGTGGAAGGTGGAAGGCGAAGGCGGTGGTGGAGAGGTGGGGGGTGAGGCGAAGTGGTGGAACAACAGTGAGACGG